AGTGCTACGGGTTTTTTGACCCCCAGGAGATCCTGGGGGTCAAAAAACTGTGTGGAAAAAAAGTGGGGTAGCGCGTGTGGTGGTAGTGCACACCACCCAAAACCAGAGCCTGGCACAGGCCTGGGGCAAGTAGCAGTGGCACAAGGTGTGTCGTTGCTTCTTGTCCCCAGGGAACCAAACATGTCCTCTTCTGGGCACAGTCCCTTATTCTAGTTTTGCCACTGCAGCTCCTGGCTGAGATGTGCACACAATTCTAAGAAAGCCTGATGCCAGGGGCAATGCGTAGGGGGTGCACATGCACCCCGAGAGTGCTGGTGCACCCCATCAGGCTGTGCTCCCTGTTTAGCCAGCAGACAGGGGCAGGCGGTCAGTGGGATTGGCTGCCGGGGGACCCCCTTCCCCTTCCCCTCCCAGTCACTGACTCAAGAGGCACCAGTCACCCCTGCCTGATGCTATCACGCAACTCAGTAAAAGTGGCCTGAACTCATACTCTGCCCCAGAAAAGATACTGAAGAAGTATCTCTCTTCAGCCTCCTCCTGCTCTTCTGGTGCCCTGAGTGTTCTGGTTCATTCCCACAAGGACCACAGATGCTGCCAGGGTTTCCTCCTGGCTTTCTCACAGCACTTTGAATGGGGGAGCAGTGCTTGCTGGAAGAACCAAAGAGGATGGGATGAGAAAGACAAGGTTCTTTGAGTAGATGCGTATCTTTTATTAGACCAATTGAGTAGTTGGAAAAAAGTTCTTGCCAAGCTTCTGGGTGCTGTCACCCTTTGACTGAGCCCGGAAGCTTGCCAAGAACTTTTTGCAACTACTCAGTTGGTCAAATAAAAGAGATCACATCTACCCAAAGAACCTTGTCTGCCTGTGTCCTTAGACCAACACAGCTACAACCAGAAACCCAGGAACAGGGATGAGAAAGAAGCATCCCGCGAACTGCTTGGGCTCGGGCAGCGGTCGCTGGGGAGCCACCACCCAGACAGTCAGCGCGGTAGCAGCTGGGACGCGGCGCGGGCAGTCGAGTCTCCCACGCGCGCCCCGTGGTAAAGACAAACGCAGGAGGCGGCGGGGGCGCTGCTCCTCCTTCGCATGCGCGCAGAAACGAGCGCCGCGGCCTACATTTCCCAAGCTGCCTCGCGGTGGATGGGTGGGGTAGTCTCCCACAATGCTCCGCTAGCGGGCGGCCGTGCCGCTGCTGCTGCTGTCTCTTTAAGGCGGGGGAAGCGATGCGGAGCGGTGGAAAATGGCAGAGCTGCAGATGCTGCTAGAGGAGGAGATCCCGGCGGGCAAGCGCGCGTTGCTCGAGAGCTACCAGAACCTCACGCGCGTCGCCGACTACTGCGAGAACAACTACATCCAGGTGCGGCCGCCGGCGGGGCCGGGCCGGGCCGGGGAGGGTGGCAGCTCAAGCCCAAGCCGTGCCGGGCAGGAAGTGGCCGCCTTGGCGGCAGGAGCAGGGAGCGGTGCAGCCGGGCAGGGCCCCCGCCGCAGCCTGGGGCTTTTCTCCCCCGAGGTTTTCCGCTGAACTTCATCCCAGTCCACCGGGCGGAGGGTGGGCCGCGGCGCCCGGAGGGTGTGTCCGCTTCCCCCGGGCTTGTTTGTTGTGAGTCACGTCGCGCCGCCCGCCCTGGGGCCTGCATGCGCGTGTGTGTGTGTGTGTGTCGGGCGGCACATGCAGGTCAGGAAGGGCGCGGCCAGCTGCCAGGCTCTGCTCTCCGCGGGACCCACACCCCCATCAGTTAGTCATTTGCACACTGCCCCTGCCCTGCTTCCACCCCACGCACACCCTGTTACAGTCACACCGTACCGGCCCACTGTGAGGGACTCCTGCGAGGCAGGAGTGCCTGAGCCCCCCACACCTTGGTAGTGTGTGTATGGAGGTGTGTAAGTGTGTGCGGTCACAGACACGCTTGGGGGACCAATGGGGCTGAAAGGACACGCTCGTCCCAGGTGTGCGTGGCAGGGCAGGAGGCACTGCTTGCTGCTGCTGTGGTGCCCCATCTGGACGGCAGTGGATGCCTGGGGCTGTCACTTGTATGAGGCGTGACCTGTTGTTCCCGCTGCAGGGTGCTTGGGCCTTGGACTGCTGGGGTGTCCCTGTTTCTGGGACAGCCCCGGGTTCTGCAGCCTCCCCAGCCTGCTGCCGGTGGCTTCCTAGTGACCCAGTTCCCTGCGCTCCTGTCTGAGGCTCCTCTGTGGTTCTGCTTTAAGGACACTTTCATTTAAACTGTTTGCAAGGCTTTCATTTGATCTCTCTGCTTCCAAATCTAATCTTCCGTCCACTGCTGAGTGGATGGACACTGAGCTCTTGCACATGCCCCAAAGAGCTCAGCTGTTCTTCCCCCCTCTCCCCCCCGGGGGGGGGGGCATTGAAAATGATGTAGAAAAAAGGAAGCTGAACTATGTGCCATGAGTTGTCTTTCAGATAAGCCTTTCAAATGTAATGTGTCCCCAGCTGGGTGTGCTGTACCAAAGCTCAATGCAGTTTTTAATATTCCAAGTTATTTGGTATCCATCTGCAGCTAGCCGGTTATCCTTTTTATGGAGTACCACACTTGAAAAGGAACCACAATGTTTTTTAAGGAAATTGCTTCTGAAAATACTAAGTAATCATTTTGACATGTTGGATTGAAACTGCACTAGGAAATCAGAATTTGCATAGGGAAAGGTTGACATCTGTCTGAATGGGAGGCAACACAAATTAAACTTTTTGTTTTGTTCTTGAGAGTTACTTGCTCCACCTGAAAAAAGCTGCTGATACAAATGCTTTTAAAAGGCGAGGTTGCATTTGGTTTTACTCATGGGAAATATGACAAACACATGAGCATAGTAATTGCAGCGCATGTTTTGACCTGTCTGACTCTTCTTTCTATTTGAGAAAAGTTGCAAAGAATCTATTTGGCACTGTGTTCATTTAAAATGATCAGAATCATAAACCTTACTAATGTTTTTAAAAGAAATGAATCCCATTAGTCATTTGAAAGTCACATAACCAGCAATCACTTGAGAATCAAAATCTGCTGTGTATGTGCCAGTTTGTCTGCAAGTGGCTGTATTTTCCTTTTTTGGAAAGAATCTGACATGCTAAAGTGCAGAGTCAGGACTTAAGCAGTAGTCTCATGGGGTTTATATCTAGTTTGCATTGTGTGTGGGTTTAATCAAATTTAGAAAAAGTGTACTGATGATGAGAGAAAGAGATATAGATATTATTTTTGGTAAGGTAAGTCTTGAACAAAGCCATCTGTTCTACTGTTACAGAGGACTGACTGTAGTAGTGACAGTGTCCTAGATGGCGTTGCCACAGGATTAGAGGATACAAGGCAGTGTAGGGTGGTGAGAATGAGTAGGTGGGATCAAAACAGTGTTTGTACTGAGTATCTTTGATCGGACAAGTCAGTCAGTATTTTTACATCTAGGTTGGATATGGCAATCCCATTTATCTTTATTGTGGGAAGAGGCAGTCAAAGCAGAACAAGGCAAGAGAAGCTATAGACGAAGTACCGCATTATGTGGGATGTCATCATCTGGGTCCCTACTTAAGTGACTCAAACCAGGCTCTGTGAGGTCTCTGACAGAAGTGTGACTACCGGTGCATATGCTCTGTCTTTCAGATCCAAACAGCAATATGCTGTTCTTCTTATTGCAGGTGTTACTCTGTTGCCACCACCTGTGCTTTGTGAAGTTGAAACTAAATGGATTTTGTTTGACATTTTTGATCAAACCACGCAAATGTTTGTTGCGAACGTGTCTGGTTAATGTTTTGTATTTAGTATCTATCTGTCTTCACCTGGGCAAGACTTAGACTTATTAAAGAAGATGCTGAATGAAGCCAGTGAGATTAGAGGGAAGGCTGAGAGTACTGAAAGAAAAATTAAAGTGGTGACTATTGAGGGAGGGAAGAAAAGGAAATGGAATGTAGAAGTAATAAATAATAAGAGGAAGTTGGCTCAAATGTTGGGGATTTTTTCTTTTAAGATTTGACTAACAGGAAACAGTTTTAAATAACTAAATTACTGGATTTAATTTGTAATAAAATTTTTCAGTCTGTCTGAAACTTCTGGCTATGGTTATAAGTTCTAGTGATGATTTTTTTTTTGTTGAAAGCAGCTAGAAATGAGGCATCTGATATTTTTGAATAGCTAAGTACCTTTCCTTCAGCACTTTTAAAGGCCAGATTTTGAGTCCTCAACTAACAATCTGTTTTCATCTCCTTGTAAAAGGAGTTGTATTAATATGTAGGCAACTATGTAGAGGGTGAGTGGGACAAAACATAGTTTTTTTTCCTTAGTTAATTAAATTTTATCTGAGATTTAAAAAATGCTGATTAAATTAGCATTTATAAAGTTACCATAGTATTTCTCAGGCTAAAGTGACGACTTAGAAAGCTGGACACTTACTTGTGAGTAAATAAATCTTTATAATGGCATGTTGGGAGGTAGGGTAACCCACCTGTAGTGAGTAAGGGCCTTCTGTAGGGCACTATGGTAGGTGCCACATAAATATAAGCCGTAGTTTCTGTTTATGAACCCTTCCCTCCAAACCTTCTTGGCTCCTAGTAAAGTTTGTTGCAGGCCTTGTCGGGATGAAAGAAAACTGGGAGTCATTGCATAAAACTGGCAAGGTTGGTGATGAATTTTCCAGAGTGTTAAATTGCAATATGGGGGTTGCGAAGGTAATGAACTTCCTTTGTCATTTCTCTCTTTGTGCTCCCAACATACAGAATCAAAGAATTTGCAGTTCGAGCTGCTGCTTTTAACCTCCTCAGCTGACAAATATTAATGTACATGGATTTCTTAAAAGAGTCTTTAGGATAGACAGAGTTAATTCTTTTGCAGGTATGCTCGCTTCTGTAATAATCTGTTAGTGTGTTTGACAGTGAAGACTAGAAGTAATGTAGGAAAATGATGTCTTCAGAGTTATGCAAACGCTTTCCTTTGAGTTGCTACTGTTGATTGTGAAGAGACAGAGTAATGAGCTTTCCTCTGTAAAAAGTCTTTAAAATAGTGCTTGTTACCCCTGTCAGTTAAAGTCAAGGGCTGCTTACAGACATGGAAAAAAAACAAAATGGTACTTTACTTTAAGTTTGGTGCACCCCTGTGCCAAGCATAGTGCATACCCGAAAGAGGCATTGCATTATCTGGACCTGGCTTGCCCGATATCTGTATAGATCAGGGTCTTTAGTGGGGATTTTTTGGCACTTTTATCTAATAGCTGATTGAATCGGCTTTAGATAAAAGCACCAAAAAGCCCCACTGAAGCATCTGATCTATTCGGATGCTGTGGAGCCAGGTCAAACTAACGCGTTGCTTCTTCTGGTGAAGCTGTTGGGTTTTTGTTTGTTTTTGTTCCCCCCCCCACAACTGTCAGTCCCCAAGATAATGCCCTGTATTTTTGTATCTGCTTAAAGCATCAGTTTCTAGTCTTGTTTACTTCACTTTGTTTAACAACTAAATCACACATGACTTTAAATGTTGTATTCTGGTCCTGTAAACTAATAGTTTGGAATACTGTGCGACTCCCATAAATGATGGTCCTGAGATTTTTAGTGAATGGCTTCTGCAGCTTTTGAAGGTAAATTGCATAAATCATGAACAGGACATTTTGAGGAAGTAAGTGCTGAATTGCTTAATGTTGTTTCCTGCTGTAACTTAGCTGTTATGTGGAAACTGTATTTTGTATGTAGCTGAATGTGTAGTTATTCTGAAAGAAAGGCAGAAGCAAGGGTCTCTTAGCTTGACCTTTGGAATTTACCCTAGTGAAGGGAATTGGAGGCTTCCTTCCTGTTTGCAGGGGGAGGAGGAATATACAGATTGCATGGGGGGGGGAACTTTTTAAGCCAGAGTCTGGTCTTTTGATAGGATGTGTTTATTAATTGGAGAGGCTTGTTCCATTTTTATCTTGGCGTTGTACAATTGAAAACAAATTACCATGTATGAATTCACTTTTAAATTGACACGTGCATCATGATATCTTT